TACTGTCACGGCTTTCATTCACACACAAATTCGTTTACAACGTAGGCCACATCTTGTATGAGATAAAATTCAGAAGAAAAATATACAGGAGCTGCCTTTGTTCAGTTTTTAAAGTTCAAATCACAAAAAAAAATGTACATGAACTTGTTCTGCATAGTACGCTGGCGGCACCGTGAGTGTGGCCGAGGACCATCGCCATGAACTGCGGTGGAACAAGGGCAGTGGCGCGGTGTCGCGAGAGCTATGCCACCGAAAAACATTGCAGGTGCCGGCGGGGATAGAGGGCCACGGGCATGAGAGTTTGTGGTCGGCGTCGTGGAGCACGCCGGCGAGCAGCTTCGACGATGCCGTGACCTGGGCCGCCATCGAACACGGCCGTTGCCCACGGGCATGGAGCACGCCGAGCAGAGTAGCACACCGACGGCGATGTGACGAGCAACCCGAGTGGATCACACCGGTGGCTGGAGCCTTTTTTTTTTGTGAGCATCGATTAACGGCGGGGATGTGGCGACCAGCCGGAGTGAGCACACCGGCGGCATGAGTTGGGGGCGTTGGAGAGGTTGGGCATCGATCTGGGCTAGGAATTTGATAACACGCTCGATCTACTCTCCGGTTTGGGATAAGGTTACGCTGTCTGCTTTGAGATTCGTAGTGACACATGTCACGCGGTCGCTATGGTCTCATGTTTGGCTGCGTGCGACCCGGTCGTACCAGATTTTTTTCCGAGAGTTGTTGTTTTGGAAACTGAACGCTGACGTGGCATCTGATTTGGAAATTGTGCATGTAAAGAGAATTGCTAGAAGTGGGGATCAACTTCTTAAGAATGTAAGATGTAAGATTTGCAGCAGATGCATATAAAAGCAATCTGTACCTTCCCAGCAGGAATTAAGCGTCCTTGCTTGAGGCAATGGTCCAACCAAAGGTCATTGAGGGCATGTACAATGGAGGCAGCACCTTGGTGCTGCCCCAGCCATCCACATAGATAATTTTGAATGAAGCTGTTGGTGTGTGCCATAATCATCCAATGGAAGCTACTCTGTGTGATGTCATCATCTTACTTTTTCTCTGTCACCTACTTTCGAACACATGTAATCTCCACTACATTTAAACATTATCAGCAACCATTTAAATCAACGGTATCAACAAGCATACACATTGAAAGTTATCAGAAAATTTGATTTCCAGACAAAAATCAGCAATCTTGATATCCAAACAATATCAACAAGTTTGCCTTGTCCAGGACACTAAAAATCTCACAGTAATAGCACAATCTGAAGGTTTCCAAATACTCGTGAAGGAAAGATTTGTAAATACAACACTCATATCATATTTATTTGAAGTTCAAACTGAATTTGTCGGTTATCCTTTGATCCTTCTCATTCCAAGAAAAAAAACCTGTCTCACATCTTCTTTGCTTCCTTGCACATGAAACCCTCCATTGTTGCACATATATGTAGAACATCTACATATATAAGAAGGAAAAAACATGTTAGAGTATAATGTTAGAGTATAACATGTCAGAAGCTATGTGTGGCTAGACCGCTAGAGCATTTAATTTAAAGGAAAACAAGAGGCTCCTTTGGTTCATAGGACATGAAAAATGCAATAGTAGGAAAATCAAAACAATATGATAAAATCGATAATAGAGAAATGAAATAATAGGATTTTTTTAAGTTGCTTGTTTGGTTCGCAGGAAAGGAAAAAAATTAAGAATTCTAACTAGAATGACTAAATTGGCAACCGACAATAGTACAAGTATCCTGCTATAGTGCAACTAGAGTTTTAAAAACTGCAGCGGAGTATTACAGCAGAGCTAATGTTATGCACCAGTACAAAAACTCAAAAAGAATATACTAAACAATGGTAATAATCCCAAGATATGAAAATTGTCCTTTGTACTATCAAAACAACCAAATTGGGTTTATCTCTTGTCAAACAACCAAATCAGTACAACATAAAGTATATTATAATCTCTTCAAACTCAATTTACTGAAGTTCTCTTGTCAGTACCCACCATAGGGGTCAGCCATAGAAAGAACTATGAAACCTGCATCTTTTGGATCAGAGAGATGCAACTAGCCATCACCAGCCAACATGCCTACCTAACAATGGGAGTGTTAAAGTGGAAAGAAAGCAAAGGAAGATTTCTGAGTACAGTATAGAACTTCTACTAAAAGTGCAGGGGAGTTACTTGCCCAACTAAAGAAAAAGAAACATTTTTTCTTCCTATTTTATTTCTAGTGTCACTTATCTTGATTAGCTCCATGTTCTACATTCTTAATCCTAACAGGCATTACACAATAAGAAAAAATATCTTAACATAAAAGAAAGCAAACTGCTGCATCATTCATCTACATACATTTCTTAAAAGAAAAGTTATGGGACTTCCACAAGTTGAACTACATACAGAAGTATCACCATAGGAAATGTTATGCATCAGGGAAAAAACTCAAAAAGAAAATACTGTTGTGTCAAGTAATCTTCTTGAGAGAAAATTTCTGTTGTGCCAAGTAATCTTCTAGAGAGAAAATTTCTGTTGGGTCAATGGTATCATCTTCGAACTCATCGGAACTCAATTGTGACATATTGCAAGTTGGGCTACAATTTAAAAATCAAGTAATAAGAATTATGCACACAACACACATGAAACTATAATTTGGATGGGAAAAATAATATTCATGTGCAAATAGCATACTCGGAACTACCAAAGAACAATAAAAAGATAGCAGTCACATTTCCTGAATAAGGCTAGTAAGTCTAGCAAAAGAATTCAACATCTGCACCTAGTACAGCAACTACTAGTACCAGCATCCCTGTGATTATGCTAGTCTAATAATATACCAACTACTAGTACATCTAGCAAAAGAATTCAGCATCTGCACCTAGCCATTAGCAAATAAAAACAAAGATGGGGATTTCAGGATTTGACATGTTTCTCTCAGGGCTAGCAAATCAGCATCTGCACCTAGCCATCTGCATCTGCACCTAGCTAATCAGCATGATTTTCTCTTCACAATTGCAAAGAGCAGAGTATCAAGGCTGATCTGACATGTTTCTATCAGGGCTAACTGCTAAGAAGAAAAAAGATGGGGATTTCAGGATTTCCACAAGCATGGTTGCCTGACTCAAATAGATTGAAACAAAATCACACACAGGGGAATCAATCTTCTTGGAACGGATCTGTTCTTGGAACCCTAGCCTAGTTTACTGAGCAAAATAAATCTGGACATGACCACAAGAAGAAGCAGGGGAAGAACTAGACTCGTACCTTGCAGCAAGAGCTGCAGTCGGATGTCGACGGCAGGTTGAGGACGAGGTGTGCCGCCTTCTCCGCTGGTTCGCGCGCCGCGCCTCCGCTCCCTGGTTCGCGCCCTTCTCTTCTCCCCTTCCCGCCCTTCCCTTCTCTCCTTCGCTTCCTTCCCCTGTCGCTCGCGGGATTTTGTTGGGCGAGCATGGTCCCGAATCGAGTGGAGCGACGGACCTCCCACCGCGTCGCCCCAGCGGCCGCCTCGTTGCTTTCGTTAGAGAAGAAGCGAGTTCTTCTGCAGGAGCCCGTTTCGCTCTGCAAGCCACAGGTTTGGTGGATGTGGCACTCGGCAGGAGGAGGTGGCACATGGGGCGCCCGTCCAGTGTGGCCCATTGGTCTCATGTCACGCGGTCGCTATGGTCTCATGTCACGCGATTCGTAGTGACACATGTCACGCGGTCGCTATGGTCTCATGTTTGGCTGCGTGCGACCCGGTCGTACCAGATTTTTTTCCGAGAGTTGTTGTTTTGGAAACTGAACGCTGACGTGACATCTGATGTGGAAATTGTGCATGTAAAGAGAATTGCTAGAAGTGGGGATCAACTTCTTAAGAATGTAAGATGTAAGATTTGCAGCAGATGCAATATAAAAGCAATCTGTACCTTCCCAGCAGGAATTAAGCGTCCTTGCTTGAGGCAATGGTCCAACCAAAGGTCATTGACAACTGCAGCTCCACCCTTTTCTTCCTTGGTGCACCACTCATTATCCTAAATATCATTCAGAAACTTGCTTTAGCATATAATGTGCTACAGGTAAAAAACTGAAACAGGAATAAGAGGTTAACGTCGTATGTTCATACAATCAGATGACTACACCCTGAATCCAACCCAACAAACTTAGATGATTTCGCTCCTCCGCTCTCCAAGGCGAAAGAATAAGAGGTTATACTAACTGAAACTGAACTGGAACTATTCAGTTTATTCAGAGGGGCAGAATAAATCACGATGGTTGGGACAGGAAAGGGTCGAGGATCAGTGGCAAAATATAGACATCGGTTTATTCTCGAATTAAGAACCATGGCCCCCCAATTCTATTGCTGAAAATTAATCAAACACATAGAGGTTTACAGGTTCACGCTATCAATTAGAGCGCTACGAAAATAGAACTTGACGAGCATGACTTGCAGAAGTAGAAATCGAAGTACGACACAACCCGATTTGGAGACGGCAGCAGAAGCAGGCCTGCGCCGCCCCACCGACGACCAACCACAGCGCCCCACTGAGGGTTGCGTTCCTACTAGTTCCGTGCGTCGATCCCGACGACCCTCGATCGGGTCGACGTCCTGATCAACGCGTTCTCGCTCGGCGAGTCTCATTCCCACGATCCTCAACCAGTCGAAGGCGGCGGCGGCGCGCTGAGGTCTTGCAACCGTGTTGCTTTCGGTCCCCGTCTCTATCTCTGATTCAACCACACGGCCGGCTCGGATTCTGCCGAGGTATATATGTGTTCCCCTCTTGTGTTCGGTTGCAAGCAGAGCCGGTTTCTTAATTCGATTTGGATTAGTTAGGCAGACAGGGTCTACATAAATAAAACATGAACTTGCAGATCAGGTCAAAGAAGCCCCCGTCAGATCGATTGCAGATTAGGTCTGCACCTGTTCCAGATCTGTCTTGTTGTGTTGCCCTATACACCTCGATTGCGACCAAAATTGAGTCTTTAGACCAACTCGGAGGAGCAGATCTTGGGACGAGGGATGTCCAAGCGTCGGCAGGAGCAGGTAAACTACAGGGACCGCGCCGACAAAAAGTTGCGGTCTGTGCAGAGGCAGAAGCACCTCTATCTGGCGCTAGATGACTGGACCAAGGGCTTTGCTATCTACAAGATTGACATCGACACCTTGGACAGCAGCTCCGACCTGGACTTGGAGCCCCCGGTTCTCCGACTAGTGTCAGCTTCACCTAGTTATCCCATGTACTTCGCTGCCCTGGGCAGCAATATCTTCATGGCGAGCAGCAAACACCCTGGCACCATGGTCTACAACACAGAGACAGCCGGATTGGCGATCGGCCCTCCTCTCCCTGATGGACTGCTCGGAGGCATTAAAATCTTTGTGGCTACTGCCAACATGCAGCTGTATGTGTTGAAGTATAGCTTCAAGGAAATGCGACAGTCATTTGAGGTGATGTCCGCTGTGGGCATCAAGGATCCACATTCTTCAAATCCAAGCACGGACTGGTGCTGGACAAGCGTGCCCTCACCACTGCCATTCAGCAAGGATGGCATCATCAACTCCGACGCCATGCACCCGGATGGACACACCATCTTCATGTCTGCGAGCAGCAGGCGCTATCTGCATCGCACCTTCTCCTTTGACACCAGGTGCCAAGAGTGGAGGTGTCTTGGGGAATGGGCATTGCCTTTCCAAGGACAAGGCTACTTTGACAGTGAGCTGGATGCATGGGTTGGCCTTCACAAGGATGGGTACATTTGTTCCTGCCAAGTGGCTTCCTGCACCGACGAAGGTACCATGCAACCTGACTGGAAGATGGGCAAGGAGAAACTTTTCCTCAAGCACTCGGGTGCCACCCTCACATACATGGGGAGCACCATGTTTTGCCTTGTTGAGAGTTTGGTACGTGAAGAACTGGAGTTAGATGATGCCTTTGGTGACTGTAATGGCTTCATGCTCTGCATCACCATTTTTGGTGTCAAGTACAATCGTGAGGGAGAGCTGCAAACCACCATCCGCCGCACCACCAAATCCTATCCAGTGTCTAAGCATGTCTCATCATTTTCTCCTGTGGCGTTCTGGTTTTAGCTAGGAACTAGATGACCCGTTGCGCCAATGGCGCAAAGGGCGAGAGCGAGCCAAGTATTCAAACCATGCAAGTAAGAATATTTAGAGACCGAAGATCAAAAGAAGACGTCAATGGTGTGGTCTTTGAGAGAAGATCGGCATCTTTTCTCCCTATTTCAGTTGATTATATAAAAAACTAAATGCAGCCGCTTAGGGACATATTCTTAATAGCATCAAAAGGGAAGCACTAAAGATCCAAAAGCAAGTGCATATCTATTTGTAGTGAAAAGAAAATATCATAATAAGCAAGCAACACTATGCAGTGCAGAAATCATAACCAGAATTATTCATAACTGAAACAAATGCCAAGTAGTAAAATTAAGCAACAAACATCATTGCCTAATCAATCATCCTTCAATTTTAGTTTTACTCTGCTGGGCTAACACGACCCAATCAGAAAAGAAGAATGGACCTGAAGGCTATAGGAAATGATTCAACATTGAAATATTCGGCATTGGAAGTTGAGTGAAACTAAAATTGGACAACAAAACGCCCCTGTTTCTGCAAGCTCAAAGAAATTTGGCAACCATATTAATACCTCACTTAGTATACACAGAGTTGTCTTTAAAGCACCAAAAGTTTACTTCCCGAATATTTACAGATGATCAAGAACTAACCATTTTAATACTTGTTTGTACTATGCAACCGAACAACCGCACGGGACACTGGACAATCTAATCTATCATGCTACCAAACCATGCCATTTCTTAATTTTCTTAAGAGTTTTAGAGAAGCCTCACCTTTGTTGGTGTTCGACAGCACCATGCCGCCCATGGAGAGCACCGCTACACACATACAGCTTGGCCCCAAAGAAGAATGGCTTTGGACCCTTCTGAGAAGCTTGATTTGAAAACCGAGCAAATCAGTCCTTTTTTTCTACAAATAACCTTAGAAAGATCAAATTTTCCTTTCATGAAGGTATATAGAAGCAGTAAGAAAACAAAAAAGAAAAAGGTTCTTTTATGTGCAAGCCTATGAGGAACACCAAAGCAAACAAAACCCATGATGTAGTCGTTCAGATTTTTTTCACAAGGCCATTGAGAAACACCGAAGGAAGAAAAGCTATCAGCCAGCATACTCGAAAATCACACACTTTCCCCCTAAAAGAAGAAACCCAATGTCCTAGCTCAACCAGCCGGAGAAGATAAAGCACAAGCAGGAAAACAAATAACCTGACAGAGGCTGATACTCAAGAGGATGGAGCTAATAACAGAGAGCCATTATCTATCAATTAAAGCAAAAGTATACTGCATAAAGGTGTTTGTACAGTAAAGTGACCATGTTGTTGTTAGGAACCAATGGAGAACAACTAAAAGACCGATGGCTTTCTAGTGCAAGAATTAACCTGGAAGACTGTTAGCAGAAAATACCGCACCTAAGACCAAATGCCCTTTGTTCCCTTTTGCAGCACATACTTGGAATGGCAAATAAAATGCGCGTTATGTACTTATCCTGACAGAAGCTCAGTCTCAAAGGCATTTTCCAAAGTATATCTTTAACAAATACTCCAAAAAATGTAGAACTGAATGAACGACTTTTCGTGCAGCGAGAAATAAACTAAGCAGGCTGCTGTTGAGGTTGGTTATTAATAAATAAACTGAGAGACGCCATCCCTCAAAATGCTTCTGATTTCCAGCAGTGGTGGCAAGAGGCCAGAAATATAGTCCATGGACCTAGAAGGAATTCCTTGAACACTATGGTACCACTAATTATATGGAGTATATGGAGGGAAAGAAATGGCAGAATTTTTGAAAACTCGCACACACCGCTTCAAGGCCACTAATTATATGGAGTATATGGAGGGAAAGAAATGGCAGAATTTTTGAAAACTCGCACACACCGCTTCAAGGAATCATCAATCAGATCAAGATTGACGCGATGCATTGGGCAGAAGCAAGTCTAGATCGTTTTGTATTATTTTAGTTTCATTCTATTTGAGGATTTTGTAGACAGTTGTGGTGGTCAGGGTTTTGGGTCTTTTTGTTTGCTGAAATTTAGGTTGTCCTTCTTGTAACTCTGATGGGCGTTGGTCGTGTATTTCTCCTTCTATCTTTAATATAATACATGCAGTCCTCCTGCATGGTTCAAAAAGAACTGAAAGAAATTTTGTGGTTTTATTCAGAAGGTAGAATAAGAAGGCAATGCTCAAGCATGCTATTATATGTTCTTCTGTGTGAAGATGGTAACAAGAGATTACAACTGTATCACGTGCAACAGCCAAAAGGAGTTGACAAATAAACGCTCTAAAGGGTACAAAACATTTTTGAGTAGTTTGATCCCACATCTCATTCTGCTACAAATTAGCTCACACAAAAAGATGACGACAATGGAAATACAGTTGATCTTGTACAACAACGCCAACAAAAATGAGTAACTTTCAAGGAAACAAACAATTTATAAGTAACATATAATCTGACATCTCATTCCCCCGAGATACTTGAACAAACATGTGATGGATAACCTGACTTTCTCGATGGAAACCTCAATCTCTGACAGGAAGCAAACTACCTCAATCCCTGTCGGAACCAGGCAACCTCATTGCAATGTTTTTGTAGAGATGAAGGCTTGTAACCACCAGGAGTAGTGCATAATTTACAACCACACTCACGACCTACATAACTATAGATGGGCTCTCTGCAGATGGCAGATAAGAAAATCATAATGAAAAGAATTGATGCATCGTTGTATGTTGATATGAGATAATATGAATGGAGTATTTTAGCACATATAAGCAACTTCTACCTTGCTACTGCACTGCCTACCACTGAAGCGCGACGACCATTGGCAAAGAGCTTGTCGATCAGGAGATTTGCAAGGATAACTTATTTTGCTAAATTTAATCAAGTCATCTGTGCATCGTCATTAGTGATCTACGTCACACAAATTCGGTACAGTTTAGTTGTAACTCTACATACTAATGGCGCGCCTCCTTAGCTTATTAACCAAGCACACCTACTCTGTCACCTCTTCCTGAACTCACACTGATGGCTTGCCTCCTTAGCTAACTATACGATCACGCGATCACAGAACGTCCTTCTCCAAGAAGGGTATATCTTGCGTCACTGCAACTAAAAAGGAAAGAATATGAATGAATTGAGAGGGTGGTGGATACATATGTTGACGCTGGCAAAGGAAGCAGATCACATACATGTTTGAATGAATATATAATCTATAACAGACCTTGCCAAGTAGAAACAGTGTGACAAGCTAGCAGAAGATGCATCAACTTATATATTATCAACCCCAGAAGGAGGGCACCAAAAAAACAAATGCACTAAATTTAAGAAGCAGACATAATGTAACTGAACTCGAGCTATATTTCAGTTAGAAGAAAAGTACCGAGTATTAACACATGTTTCCATGTAGGAGTAGCAACATATGAGGGCATGCATACCCATGAATGGTAGTCCTTTCTTTATAGGAAAGGAATTTCTAGGATAACAAATAGTGGATGTGATTTCAGGTTTGTAGTGTTATAAATTTGAATGGTATCAATTTTCTCTCCCGTAAAAGATTCTTCAGCATTTATTCAGCTCAGCAACAATCTTTTGTGGCATCCCAGCTCTACTGTGAGCTGCAGCAAAGTTGTCATGAACTGTGGAGATCCACAAGCAGCGCCGCATGTACATGGGCAGCAAATTTAATAAGAAATTTAGTTTTAGCCATGAATATCAATAGTAGTTGAGATATATATTTAATTCACCCAGTGTTCAATTAACATGTGAACACAACATGTGTAAGTGTGACCCTTAAAAAACTTTTTTGTATGTGAGAAAGAATAGTGTGCGTGTATCAGGATCATTCTCTAATGATGAAGATTTAACTGGTGTCACACATCATCAGATTTACTAACCTGCAATGTGCCTAACAATCAGAAGATTCCAATTCCATTAGCTCAAGCTAATACAGAAGCTGCTCAAACAAAAAATGCAGGCAGTAAACCAATCACCGCCACGTCACCTTCTTACCTGCAGCTTGGGAGCAGGCTGCCGCCATCGACCGCCGCTCTGCATCTTGGCGGCTGGATCCATCCCGCTGTGGTCATCGGTATCAATGGAAAGTGAGTGCTTGGAACGGCCCGCTGCCATCGACCACACTCACGTCACCTTCCCATGGTCTGCGAAGAGGTGGCCTAGGCGACGACACGGCGAAGAGGAGGAGGCCACGACGCGGCGAAGAGGAGGAGGTACCGTCAGATTGGGAAGGCTTCCTGACTCATGCCCCTCCACCCCAGCTTGAAGTCTCAATTAGCATAACAAGGAGACATGAAAAGCCCATTCTCAAATATGTGATATATCACGGCCTGTGAAGGCCAGAAATCTCATCTATGGAACTACAAAAGTGGAAACATCTAACAATGTCTGTTGTGTGTCCTTCTCATATACTTTATTTGTCAAATGGACTGTAATAAATAGTATTAGGTATCTTTTGCCGAAGAAATCACATCACATACAAAAAAGGCAAGTCTTCATCTATGTGCTATCCTTGTGAAGTCACTAAATCCATGGCTGTGGATTTTCCTCGTTAGCTCTGCACACAGGCCTCTACACTGCATTATTAGTGTAAAAGTGGCAGCTCTTAGAAGCGTTATATTGTTCGGTAAAGCTTCACCCAAGAATTGTGCAAAAACATGACTTAATAGACATTAAAGGTCTCATGTTCCTCACCAAGTGCATGAACACATGTCAGGCCCGAAGTTCTCAAGATTTCAATACACGTTTTATAGATAAAAATCCATGTTCACAGGACCGCCAACTACACAACAAAGCATGGAGATTATCTTTGTAACAACAGCGAAACAACAACGAAGTAGCAATCGTGCATTTAAGGGCAAAGGCCAAATTCTGTTGCTACTGAGTTGTATCTTGTCTGAAACTGCACCTAGATACAATTGGTACAATTTGGTTCCAGGTGTGTAAAGGAAAAGGTAACCTCCTTATTTTTCAGTTAATATCAAATAT